TCTCCTTGATAGTGCAGTTGGGAGTACGTTGAAGCAGTTGTCATTGGAAGCGTGAGGGCGTGGGTTCGATCCTCGGTGGCGATATTTTTCTGATACAGGTATAGGGATAAGCGCGCTGGAAGTCTAAGTGGAGGAAACAAAAGGAAACTCTCCGTGGGAATGGCAATTGTGAGTATTAGAGAGGATTTGGAAAATGAGAAGTGAAATGCAGTTCGGAATTTCCTATCATCCCAGCTCGAAATTTACGGAAATTTTGAAATTAAGGGAATTTTTTAATATCATTTTGGCATTCGTATAGGAAGAAATTCTGGTATAAACTCTTCATGCAATTCAGCGAGAAGAAACTTTCTCGGGAGTTTTTGGGAAAAAATTTTCGGTTGAAAAATTTTGTACTAGTGATTTAGTTTTTGGAAAATCGTCTTAAATTCAGATCGGTCGTCCTCGTATTGTATTCCTCGATGAGCCCAGCACTGGTATGGATCCTGTATCGAGACGCTTCCTGTGGGGAGTAATTCAACAGCTGGCAATCAGCCGCAAAAGTGTTGTGGTTCTTACAACACACTCTATGGAGGAGGCGGAGGCGCTATGTTCACGGATTGCTATTCAGGTGAGTTAGTGAATTTTATAGGGGCTTTAGTGTGGTCAATTGCATGTGATGAAAATCGCGAGGAAAATCTGGGAGAAGTTCTCATTGGTTTCTGTATAGTCTCACTCGAGTTCGTAGATAAACTTTCGTAATCACTGAGAAATTGCCGAGCTCGGCTGAGGCAAGCGAAAATATAATATTTACTATATATGTTATAGATGCAGTTGCACCCGTTTTACGTGAAGTTGCGTAAAACTCGGCGAAAAACGCGATATTCGCGGTGATATGCAGTAGTCGTGGAATATATTTTTCACTAGTGTTTTTCATATCACGGTCGTGAAACTCCTATATATTGGAGTTTCACCCGTTTCACGTGGAGTGGCGTAAAACTCGGTGAGAAACGCGATATTCGAGGTGATATGCAGTAGTCGTGGAATATGTTTTTCAATAGCGTTCTTCGTATCACGGTTGTGAAACTCCATTGTATAAAGCTGCTTTCAGGTGGGCGGCCAGTTTAGATGCCTTGGGTCTCCTCAACGATTAAAGAGTCGTTTCGGGAGAGGCTATGAAGTGAGTCTTAAATACGACGATGTTACTGAGGTAGCGGCTGAGGAAATAAGAAGTAAGGGGAGTGGTAGGGGTGAAAAAAGGGGAGGTGATTGTCTCCACTTCGAGTCTGGTAGAATGTGCGAAGTACTTCGGATGGTTTCAGAGTTGCTGCAGAAAAGTGTAAGTAGGAAATCATTGGAGTTTCACCTGTTCTACGTGAAGTTGCGGAGCGAGCGAAGCGAGCGGAGCCTATTCTCTCACTTCACGATAACTTTGTGCGTGCGTGCGTGCGTGCGTATGCAATTGTCCAGCCCGATCCAGAACAGATATGAAAACGTCTGAACCACCATTCGAAAGCTCCCGGTCTGGGGATCTTGCAAAAAATATGAAACCCTGCATACTCGACCAACTCATCAGCAGCTGCTCCGAAAACGGCCGAAAATTAATTGCGTTAGAAATGACGTCCGTGGGGATCGAACCTGCGCCATCCATTTTCGGCGCGGGAGTCGGTCGAGTCAATCGTTCTTGCGCGTATGACGCGAGCTCCGCCCCTCTCCGAGAAGGCCTAGTGGTGTAAAACTCGGTGAAAAACGCGATTTTCGCAGTAGTTGTGAATGGTGCGTTTCACTAGTGTCTTATCACCGTCGTGAAACTCCATTATGGAGGATATATGTGCAACCCTGGAACCTATGAGAAATTGCTGTTACGGAAGACGCTATAGTTTCAACTGTGACGTGGAAACGGTTGAGAAGTAAAATTTGAAATATATTTCTTTGGCAGTGTTTTTCATATCACGGTCGTGGAACTCAACTGTTTGAGTGTGTCCTTACCACAATTTCGATGACTCTCCGCGCGTGTTGTCAGATTCAATCGGGATTGCG